TCAAACCCAAAATAACTTCCAAAGTGAGCAAACCAAAGAGATGTTATGAAAGCAAACCCAAATCAAAAGGTATGCAATAAATAAGGACCTTAAACAACCAGTTCAGCCAATAAAATAAAGATATTTATGGTTTTTGATGGAAATGTATGAAGACAATAATCATAGACATACATAATAGAATTACTTGAGATCTCAGCACAGGCACCCATGACAAACACAGATACAAGACCAAAACACAGAACAAGACAAGCACGGACAAATAACATCAACCATATTGCCATTAAATCCAGGACCCAAAAGACAAGCTTTTGGGCTCAGGACAGGCGGGTCCAGGGACGTCTCCTCTGGAACCTGACTAGGGGGATATTTGCTGCATCCAGCTTCCCACCTAGTTTCTCTGATCAGAGCTCAGAACCAGATGGCGACAGATCGCCGGCTAGCCAAAACCAGGAGAGAAACCAAAAATCAAAAGTGGTTTCTCGATCGCTCTTACCTTGCTGGTGGTGTGGGAGGAGAAACCGGAGGTCAGACTGGGGAAGCAGAAACAGCCGGGACTGATGCAAGTACCCTCTCAGGGAGTTTGCTGGTACTGCCCTACAGCGAGGCTGATGCATGTCCCCTGCTGGGGAGTCTTCAGAATATTGTCGGGCAGCTCCCTTCTCAGAGAGTTTCCCATAAATTGTTCTTTGGTTAATAAGTCTGCTATTTTACTACCTAAAGATAGCATACCTGGCAAATTAGTATGTCCTCTTATATGACTAATAAAACATTTATTTTGCCTGTTAATAATCATGCTTTGTAATTTTTGTAATAAAAGTAGAATTTTTTGAGCTTCCAGATAACAGAGCAGTCTCTAAAGCCGGAAAAAGGTTAATTACATAATGCTGTCCCTTCACTGCTGCAGCATAGGCCATTCCTTGGACCACTGCTGGTGAGGCGTCTATGCAGGCTTTTACATAATCCTGTAAAGAGCCTGTTTTCTTAATTGGCCTTATTAATTCTTTACATAGAAAGTTAGCATTTTCCCAAGCCAATTGTTTTAATAAAATTTCTGATTCCTCAGATGAAGGCATTATCCTTTGCAATGCTTTTTCTAATCTTGTTACAAAATTTTTATATGGTTCTTCTTGTTTTTGTCTAATTCTAGAAAGAACAGTGGTTGTACCTCCTGCTCCTGGAAGCTTTCTCCAGGCTGCTACTGTCAATTTAGAAATCTCTTCCAACACTGTTTTTGGTATACTAATACTCAAACTGATAAGAAAAGGCCCTTAGGGCAATTCTGTTTCCCTTGTTAATATAATCTGAAAGGGTGCTTTGCAGGTGGGGTCTAATTGCTTCTTGGCAGGCGGAATTAGCATTTTCAAAGGCCAGATGTTTTACAAAAGCACTTTCTTCTGATTCCCCAGCTATCCTTTCAGCCGCACTTGTAAGGCAACTGATAAACTCAGTGTATGACTCATCCCGGCCCTGGCG